GCCGGGGCGCAGCGCCCGCTGGCTGGCTGGCTGGCTGGCAGGCGGGCGGGGGCCCCGGCTCCGGGCTCGGCGGCCGGCGGAGCTCAGCACAGGCGCCGCCGTCGCCACCGCCTCTTCCTGCCCCCCGCCTGCGGAGCCGCTCCCGCTGCCGCCGCTGCCCCCATCGCCGGCGGCGGCGGCGACCCTTCCATGGCCGGGGCTGCAAACGTGACGCCGCGCCACGCCACAGGCCGCCGCCGCGCCGCACCGCGCCGCGCCTCGCCTCTCGGCGCACCGCTGCTGCTGCAGCCGCGGCCGCCACTCCGGAAAGAAGGCGGATCCCGCCGCAGCCTCGCCCGGGCGGGGGGCATCCGGGCTGCCCCCCCTCCTCCCGCTCCCCCTCCTCTCTGGAAAGCAGAGGTCCTCGCTACCAGCGGAGCTCGACCTTTCCGCTGGGAACTGGGAGTACAGGCAAGATGTTTCCTGGGCGCATGCAGAGAGCCTGGCAAGTCCCTGTGGCATCATTGCTGTGGCCCAGGCTCTGAGGTGTGTCCCAAGAAGCCAGACCAATCCCGGAGCCCCTTCTAGGGACCCTTGTTCATTCTTGAGAGCTGACTTGTCAGGGTAACAAAGACCATGGAACCATGGAGCATGTGCAGAGTGCTTGCAGACCACTCCACCGCTCTGGAACTAAACCAAGCTGGGCTAAAGATATGCAAAGACAAGCTTGCCTAGAACCAGCAACGGTACCCACTGCAGGTGAGTGCGGGCTCGCCTCCCCCCGCCTGGGTAGCGGGGCAGAGCACTCTCGAGCACCGCACCTGCGCTGGGTGCAGCTGAAGAGGCGCGATGGGAAGGCACTGCCTCTGAGCATGTGGCAGGCCCCACAGCCAATCCCCTGGCACAGGAGAGGCTGAGCGTGGCCACCGAGCACAGCAGAAGCGCTCTGGAAAGGCCATGCCTCCTCTAGCGTTGCTAACTGGAGGAGCAGCCACTGCGGAGAGGAGCACTCAGTTCACGGGGGAGGACTGAAAGCCACACCGCCGTCATAGAGGCCGGCCAGCCGGCTGCTTGCTTATCCCATTTGTAGCCCACATTTCCTGCGAGGAACAGGCCCCTTCCCCAGCCCACTCATCTGCACAAGATCCCCGAGGCAGGTCAGACTGGGAGTGAGTGGCTGGTCCCAGGCCAGGGGGAGGGGGGCTTGTGACAGCGGGGGAGGGTGAGCCTGCGTCCCTGCAGGCCTAGCCCATGCTCCACCAGCACCCGGGCAGTGCTGGATCTGGTTAAGAGGTGAAGCCGGCAGGGGCAACCAACCTACCCCCCTAGCCCCCCAGTTTGCTCATGCTCAGACTCAGCGGGCTCTCTGAGTCTCTGGGACCAACTGCATGGGCAAAATGACTCCGTTATCGTCCCAGTTCCACAGACAGGAAGTGGGGCTGGATAAACTACTTGGCCAAGGCTCCCCAATTAATCCTGGGTGCGGAGACATGTGCTGAAATAGCAGGCCATCCATTTCTACTGCTGCAGGATGACAGCGGCCCTGCCCACCCTCACATCTCGCCAACTGCTTTGGCACGGGACCAGCCTTGCGCGTGAACTGCCCAGGGCAAAGGGCGATGGAGGCAGGGCAGAGGCTCTGGGGACGGCGGCTTCTGATGCTGGTGGTGGCGGATTCGTAGCTATGACTAGAAAGCAGGACGCCCATGCTAGACCCTGTGGCAGGGGTCTTGTAGCCCCCCAAGACTCGCAAAGCCACAAAGCTACGCCCGACTCTTCACAGCCCCACGGACAGCATTCCTCCAGGTTCTCCCGTCCTCCACCATCCCCTGGAGTCCACCCAAGCCCACACCCGCTGCCC